TCACTCAATTAAACTTGACATAACTAATAAAGAATCAGAAGACCTAATTCAAAAAATCTACAGACATGAAGCATTTGACAATATAGCTCTTTAGCCTTATTTTTACTATATAGTGCCAACTCTCAAAGGCCTAATTCCTCATTTATTAATTCAAACTCTTCAAAACTATAATATTCCTTATAAAACAGCAGCTAATACTATAATCAATCTATTACTCAAAATCAATAAACAATTATACAAACAAGCATGGAAACCCTACTGCACAAATTTTGCTAACTGGAAAAAACAAAAGCATTTAAACTACCCATATGGTAACAACTCCAATTTTACATACCAATCTGATAATCCAGACTTATCTAATGATTCTAACTCTAACCAGCAAACCAAAAGCATCAATCATACATACAAAATATATACATATTCTTGTTTATGTAAAGAACCAGACCAACTACACTCACATACTAGAATCTGCCTACCGGTAGATCAGACCAGAAAGAAAATTAATACTTGGTCTTATCTTTGGGCCAAGTACAATACCTCTTTAAATCATATTCTAACTATAGCAATCTAGATGAGTTTTTGATCACTCTAGTAGATTTAGATCACAGATAAATTTTTCTCTGTCTGAGCTTTTATTCTTGTATATAATTTTTATTTGTACTGATACAAATAGTAGTAACTTTGTAAATTCCTAAATTTAGTAGTTATTTTTTTAACTGCATTATAGCAATCTATATTGTAACTATTCTAAAATTACTAATAAAGATACGAGCAAGGCCTCACCTTAAAATCAAAAAAAAATCTATTTAGATATAGTATGACATTTTGTATGTAGCATTTTTTTTTTTTTTATAAATAAAACTGATTGAAAATAATCGATTATTCTATAAAAACTATAGAAGTTTAATAAGAATTTTAAATTTACTGCACAAAAGGTAACTGTAATTATATGTAAATACTTGCAAGTGCAAAAAATTGATTATTTTTTAACATTTATCTATTTTATAGCAGTTAACCGGCTAATCAAGTCAATCACTAATATAATCTATAAAATAGACTACAACTATATGATCCAGTAATCTCATATAACATGAATCAAAATACAAACTAATCAAGCTATACTGTAGAGAGATTATTCTCTTTAGCTCAGAATAGTAAGATTCCAAAGAATTTGTTGAAGTTACTTGCAAGAGCAGGAGAGAATTCATATATGCCCAAAGTGCCTACTGGTAAGAATTTTTTGCATAATTTTTACCAATATATCATTAGATAGAAGAAATCAGATATTCTGTAATCACTTGTTAAATTAAAGCTTCACAACTAATTTTGGTTCTTTTATAAATAGCCTGCATCATTATTTGTCAAGTCTTTTCACAATATATTTTATTCATCCAAGTTCGTACAAGGTGTGCAGTGCAATAAATTATGTTATATTCTTGTTCACCATTTTTGAGGCCTGGAAAAGCTAATCTAATACTATTTTCCTCTATACAACTTTGGTCCTGAAGAATATTTCTAGGCTGCCACCTACTTGCGAATCGTTGAATAATTTGTAAAGCCTTTGCAACAGTAATACTATCCTTCTTATTAACAAAAAAGTGAGCATCAACATCCCAATATCCAAGTTTATTATTGGTATATAAGGTAAACAAAGGATAGTTATATCTATTTGTTTGATGTATTAAGTCGATTAAAGTTAACTATCCATATTTCTCGAGGCTCTCAATTTGTTCTTGGTCTATAAAAACTAAACCATGTGAAGAATTATTAGAAATTCTATAATGCTCAACCTGAAACTTTTTCTGCATTAAAAAAGAAATTGATTTCTAGACATCTAACTCTCGGTTGGGGTTTCCAATTAGATGTGTATCAAAAGATCTGTGTACTTTATATTTAATATTAGTAACTTCTTTACATTTTAATTCCCTTACACTTTTACTCAAACTTAACTTTTTTATTGCATACTCCTTTACTGTATTAAGGATAGCCAGAGATCGGTAATCTTTAAGAGCTTCCTCTTTAACCAAACTTCATACAGCTTATGATCGCTTAATTTTTTTACTTTTATTTAAGGAATGGGTGTGATCAGGTAAATCTTTGAAACGTTCTAAACACACTTTACTTTCTGTAACGAACCATAGCACCTTAATTTTGGCAGAACACATACTTGGCAGTCTAATTTTTGTCTTTTGCCATTTGTTACTTGGAATTTTATTTTTTCGGGTGCTAGATTTATTATACTTAGTGAAATAGTACGTATAAGTTTGTGATGAATCACTATTAACTCGTTTTTTGAGATTGAATCTAGTCCAAACATTTGATACAAGTGGCCACCATTTGTCATCAAATTCTTGCATCAACAACTCAAGTAGCTGATTAATATTGAAAAGAAGATTTCGTTTTTGGTCAGGAGTCAATGCATTAATATTAGATAAGTCAACTTCAATATTCCTGGTTGTAGAAAAGGAAGAAAGTAGATTTCTTACAGTGCTCGCTTGTAGGTTCGTTTACTTATTTATGTTATATGAAATCTAACTTAAAAAATTTATAATGAAAAAAAAAAGGAAAGGAAGGGTATATTGTATAGTAAAGTGAGTATGTAGAAAGTTCATTAAGTAGTGTTTTAATTTTGAAAGACTTAAGTTGAT